GTATGGAGCATGGACCGCCGCTATGGTGCAGCCGAAGGAATCCTTGTTTTTGCTTAACGTCACCGAGAAATCTACACAGACCGATCCAATTTTTACAGTATACAAGACCTATGCAGTGAAGTTTGAGAAACAAGCAGCTACCGATGAGTACTAAGAACAGGTTTGCAACTGCTACTGCTACAGTATTAGTCTGCAAGGAATGCTACCGTGTAAATACCCAAGGAGAACTACAGTCTAAGGCGGCTAAGAGATATATCCGAGTTTGACAGGGTTTGTTTTGTGATAGGCTGTCTCAAGTGCGACAAGACAAAAATGTATTGAATTAGTGTAATATGTGGTCCACACTCAGTACGTCATGTATCTGATTGCTAACCTGTGTGTCTCCAGCAGTTAGCAAACACCTTCTCAGGCATCGCGTCCCATGCTTCTCCTAGCCACTCGATGGCGTCCGACGCAGCTAACCCCATTGCATGATAGCGTGGGGTTTGCTTGGGGTGTCGGCAAAGCATTAGCTGCTGGGTTTCGTGAGGGAGACTTGAGTCATTGCGTACTGCTGGGTTCGATTGAGGAATGGCACCTGATCGAAATTTTGCGCCACTTTTCAAACTGAAGCATATTGGGATTTGTAAACTGTTCGTCACCCAATCAAAACGTAACCCACTTCACGTCAATCCGTAGATTGGCCTCTGTATTTGAATAACTTATATTTTCGTCGAAAAGAGGTGATAAAATATAAGGTGGCTCTCTAAGCCGCCTTAGACTGTACTGGAAGCTCGGTACGGTAGCTAATTAATAGCGTCAACATCTATCAAGCTGAAACCTCCATAATTCGATAATCCGATTAAGACGGAATCAAGTTGTACTATAAACCCTTTTAGTTTCATTGATTCAAAGATAACATGAGATTGAAGAGACTTATAAAACACTCCACTTGAAAATGAATGGGTTTGTTTGATGTGCTCTCCACATCGACGAAATTGGCTTCTTCGAAGTACTGGAACAGGAACACCAACCACCAGGACAGTCCTCAATATAAATCTCAGGGATAAATCTTTAGAAAGTCTTATCGAAAGGGGGTACCGGATTCCGTGCATTTCCTGCAACCGACGTAAGAACTCCGTCTATAGTGAATTTGTAAGCATACAGCCGTAAAACGTATTCAGAGGATTATTAACAGTGTTTCGTTGGCTAATCTTAGATGTAAACATTACATAATATGGACATGGTTGCACAAAATATAGTTCAGAGCGATACGATTGGCTATTTGCGAGATTTAATGCTAAGGGTAATTACTGGTTGGAGTGGCGTTAACGCAACGTTAACTGTCTCTCTTACAACGTCACAACACCATTTTAGCGCAACGTTGTCGACATTAAACCAGTTTTTACTGGTATATCGGTGAATGAAATATAACAATAAGCCACATTTTGATGATAGATTTTCACGACAAAACGGGACAGTTGTATCCTGGACACAGTTACTATTTGAATCACCCCCTTATTTTCTCTGGCGACACATGTCACAAATCACCTTTTGGACCATGAAGGACTGCTCAGGTAGTGACTCCAGTGCGACTGACGAGCGAGCGCCCGGGCCCGCCTCGGCACCACGGCTTGCCCAACTGCTAGCTCATTCACGAATCCAGGATCTATCCTCGCTTCAGGAGAAGCTTGTAGAGATGGAGGGGTACACGTGCAAGTTGGTGGCAGTCCAAGGCGAGGTTAAAGATTTGTTGGACCAAGAAAACGACAACGCGTTCGAGCTGCTCTCCATGTTGGTTAACGACACGTCTGAGGAGAGGACGTATGTGCCCACATTTCTGTGCTATTAGCCGAATGCTGCAAGATGCTGCAGGAGAAGTAAGCGTCGCCCGAATCTCAGT